ATACGACCGAGACAAAAACGGGGCTATTATGTAAATATAATAAGTGCAAATTCACTGTGTAACTTTATTCGCAGCATCCTCCTGAAATGCGCCAACAACATTGAGAGTAACATCCTCCTCTCTGCCCCTTAATGCCCTCTGGTCGCTATGGTAACGCGTAAATATTTCTTTCAAAATAAGACGCACAACTACAACACGGGAAAAGACCCGGGGAAACAGAGTTGACGATAAAAACCCTGAAAACTGTAAATTTCGCTGGCTTAGACTATCAGCCTCAGTTAGCGCTTTAAAGTCATAACAGTCTAACTAGAACAAGTGTGGCACGTTTGGAGGGGCTGCGAGGGAAAGCTTCTCTCTAAAAAGAACATGATCGCACGTCACAGGTTTTTAAAGCTGCATGTAGATAACCACGAAACTTCTGAAACGACATCATACAGCACATCAGCACAAAGACCTCGTACCAGCTGTCAAGCACAGTAGTGGAGGAGCACAGCCGCTAATCCTGGGCACCTTCCAACAGTTGTACTTCCAATGGGAAGCATATCTGGCTGCAGACTGAAGCAGCCAGGCATCAAACCACCAACCTTTAAGATAGTAGAGGTTAAGCTCCACCTTCTGAGCTACAGCCACATAATGTGAGGCCACGTGTCTCACAATCGCAGGGATGGCGCAATCCTCAGAGCGTACCTGCAGAGTGTTTGTTGTCAGATGGAGATGGTGTCCACACCTGAATGTGCTCCATCAGTGTGTCCAGGGTCCATGGCCGACTCTTCCGGCCCACTTGTCAAAAATAAATAAATAAATACTATTTTCTAAGTAAATATATTTGTAAAGGTGCTACTGCCTTGAAATTCTCACGGCACAGTCCATCCAATCCACACATGCAAAGAAGTTATGTGCAATAATCAGAAATGGGCAGCAGTGCAGAGGATAAGCTAATCGCTAATCGCCACTTCTCCACCCCCGTTGCCATATTGCCTGTTTGACGCGCTGTTTTTGAAAGGAGGGAACCAGGGCTTGGACTCTCATTGGATGCCTCCTGGCTGTTCCAGGCATGTCCCAACACGGCAGACTCTGGAGAGGCTACATCTCTCGGCTGGAGTTCCCCTGGATAAGCTGAAGGAGGTGGCTGGTGAGAGGGAGGTCTGGGCTTCTCTGATTAGGCTGCTGCCCCACGATCCGCCCCGGATATACGTGGGTGGATGGATGTATGGATGGAATGGCACATCGCTGCAAAATTAATGTCCGTAAACTTTAACTCGAACTAAAACAACGGCGTAAAGATGGGAGGGCCAAACTTTCTCCAGCACGATGTGACACAGCGATAACACCATACACTGCTGACGTCAGGTTATTGCTTCTGAAGGTGGAGCTACGAGCTGGGTGTCATTTTTTTCATAGGATATGTGTCGCGTTATACCGTGTACAACAGTGCAGTGCACGTCCCACACTGTGGGGAAGGTTATACAGGCGCACAGTATCATGAGTCCTGCTGTAACTGATGAAAGTGGAGCAGTAGGATGTTTGGGTTTTTGCTGGAAACCATCATGGTTAGTTTTGCACCTCTCTTGGTGCGGTGGCTAAACCAACGGCTGGCTGAGGTGTAGACAGTTTCCGATACTCCCCACTTCCTGTTTCAGAGAGAAGAAGCCTATTGGCTGGGACACAGACATCTCGTGGCTGACGGGGGAGGAGCTACATGTAGAAGTGTTGGAAAACGTGCCGCTCACCACACACAACTTTGTAAGTACTTTCAAGTGTCCCGTAGTGAGAAGTGCTCAGTGCAGCCGGGGTGACTCTGGTCTGTATGTCTCTGTTTGATCCACAGGTGAGGAAGACGTTCTTTACACTGGCCTTCTGTGACTTCTGCAGAAAGTTGTTGTTCCAGGGTTTCCGCTGTCAGACCTGTGGCTACAAGTTCCACCAGCGGTGCAGCACCGAGGTTCCTCTCATGTGCGTCAACTACGACCAGCTCGAGTAAGTTCAGTGCAGGAAGGCGCACGCTGCTGTGAGCAGTTTGGGACGATATAAGGATGTTATGGCTCCACAGGCTGGGCTCAGTGACCTCTGCTCGTGACACTGAGAACCTGCAGCTACGTTTGTATCTTTGTACATGTGCGACTGGATCAGGACGGTACCGGCAGTAAAAATGTGAACAGAACGAAGCTGTCGTCTGCACAGATCCTGATTCATCTTTATGGTAACAAAGAGCAGTGACATATTCAGGCTTTTAGCTTCAAAGGGTTCAAACAATGCCTCCGATTTTAAAGTGCAACAAAAAAGAGAGAGAAATGTCATGACTACATAAAAACGAGTTACTGTAAGCTCCAACATTCACCGTTGGTTCCTGTGGTAGGCAAATGAAACAAGTGTGCTCAGTGAGATGTGTGTTAGTGCTTGTTTGGCCTGTTTAAGGTTACAGTTCCAACTGTGCCTGAATCGTATGTTTTCGGCGTGTGCTCTGCAGCTTGCTACTAGTGTCCAAGTTCTTTGAGCACCACCCGTTCACCCAGGAGGAGGTCTCCTCAGAGGGAACCACGCCTGTGTCTGAGGCCTGTCCGTCACTTCCCCCATCCGACTCCACTGGGTGAGTCCTCCAGCCTCATACTGAAAAGGAGATGTTTTCCTTCTGTTTCCTCAGCAGAACATTTAGTCTGAAGTTTGAAGTACTAACCAGCGGCTTTCTGTCCAGATCAATATGCCACACCACTGTGTCGCCGTCCAAATCCATACCCATCCCGCCCAGTTTCCGGCCCAACGAGGAAGACCACCGCAACCAGTTTGGCCAGCGGGACCGTTCATCCTCTGCCCCCAATGTGCACATCAACACCATCGAACCGGTCAACATCGATGTGAGTCCGCTGCACTCGCTGACACATGACAATTTTCTTTCATTCTGTTTTTTTCATCACCTCACACAGCGCCCCATGGTTTCACGTCAACGTCCAGCATGTGTTACAGAGGTGTTACAGAGGTGTTACAGATGTGTTACAGATGTGTTACAGAGGTGTTACAGAAGTGTTACAGACGTGTTACAGAGGTGTTACAGAGGTGTTACAGAGGTGTTACAGAGGTGATACAGTTGTGTTACAGATGTCATCAAGTAGGCTAAACAGCAGCAGTTGTAACAGTTAGAAGCTAACTTTGTGTCGGCTACGCTTGAGTTACGCTTAAGCGTCCAAATATCACGCTTTCCCTCCGATAAACAGTTTGATTGCATTTTCACATCATATGAGAGTTTATTCACAAAGCGTTCAAGTTCAACAATGTTGCCTTCACTTCAAAGACAGTTTCACTAACACCAGGAAGTGCACACTGACACAAAAGTTCAGGAAATATCCTCAACAACTCCCCTCAGTGTGGCTGTCATCAGTTACAAATAAACATGGGCACCAGCAGACTGACAGCTCACACTCACTACAGACGAACGGCGGCCACAGTGTTTTGTCCTACGGCGGCAACCGTAGCTAGTTACAAATGTGTTACAAATGTGTTACAGTTGTGTTACAGAGGTGTTACAGAGGTGTTACAGAGGTGTTACAAATGTGTTACAAATGTGTTACAGAGGTGTTACAGAGGTGTTACAGAGGTGTTACAGAGGTGTTACAAATGTGTTACAGAGGTGTTACAGTTGTGTTACAAATGTGTTACAGTTGACTCTACAAATTGCCAGAATGATGTAGTCTCTTATTTCTTTTGTGCTCTTGACATTAAAATAACAGTTAATACACTTCCTTAAGTTGACAAGCAGAAGCTCTCGATCGTCCACAGACTGTGGAGCCGCTCTGATGGACAAACTCTTTGTTAACACTTCATTATTTACTTTCTTTATTAGTAGTATTTTACTTCCCTGAACAACACCCCATCCAATCCACACATGCAAAGAAATCAAACCATAGATGTCCAAATATTATATGTAATGAGGAGAAATGACACGGGGAAGAATTATTGAACATGCTTGCTGAGATTTATTTAATACAAATGTGAAAACTGTTGCCGATGACAACGGCAGCTTCTGTACAGGGAAACTAATCGCACGCTTTGCTCAGGTGTGATTTCGACCCATTCTTTAACACCAACAGTCTCCACATCCTCGGGGCTCTATGGGCCCGTCTTTACTTCTTTCTGTGGAGTTTCAGTGGGATCGGGTCACGTGATTGGCTGGACAATGCTAACATTTCTCTGAACCCGATTAAGTTTCCTTGGCTGTTTTCGGGGGATCGTCGTCTTGCTGAAACGTCCACCCATTATTTCATCTTCCTCATCCTGGTGGATGTATTCAACTTTCAATTCAATTCAATTTTATTTACACAGCGCTAAATCCCAACAACAGTCGCCTCAAGGCGCTTCATATACACACAGAGAAACCCCACCAACCATATGACCCCCTATGAGCAGCACTTTGGCGACAGTGGGAAGGAAAAACTCCCTTTTAACAGGAAGAAACCTGCGGCAGAACCAGGCTCAGGGAGGGGCGGGGCCATCTGCTGTGATTGGTTGGGCAGAGAGAAGGTTATGTATTTGTACTATTTGTAACTGGAACCATCAGTATGTTTGGCAACACTGAGGCTCTGAAGGTGTTGAGGAGTTTTTACCCACCATGAGATGTTTCTTGGGCGACTCGTTGGTAATGAGACACATTTTGCAGACCATCAGTTCTAAATGGACCAGCTGACATTAATTTGCATTAATTGGCAGGACTTTTAATTACTGATAGATCTCAGCTGCTGTTCCATGTCTTTTCTTCATGTGTTCAATCGTTTCTCATTATTACACATAACTTAATTGTTGGACACCTGTGGTTTGATTTCTGTGCACGTGAGGATTGGATGGATTGTTGCTTTTACACATTTAATTCAAAAGTGGGTGACGTGTTCAATACTTCTCTGTAAATACCATCAGTTTGCACTCGGAGCAAATCCTCATGTATTTATGTTAAGTGTGTTTTTCACGCTCTGCAGCTGCTGAAATCATGACACCGTGTTCACGTTTGTTTTGCTTTCTTTATTTCAGGACCTGATTCGAGATCAGGGCTTACCGAGGTCAGATGGAGGTGAGCATCCAAGAGGGAAACTTCACACTCAACTTTTTCCCCATCATCTCACATCTCTGTGCTCTTGAATTTTTTTTATCTGTGTGCGTGTGTGTGCGTTCAGTCCTGTGCCTTGCCAGTCACAGAGCCGTGAGCTGAAGGTCAGGGGTTTTTGAGGATGAGCGGTCTGAGTGCTCCTCCAGGCTCGGCTCCTCACGTGAAACTAAAACATTTGACAAATTTTCCAAAAGTTCCAACAAAGCAGCTCTGCAGCAAAGCATCGCAATACATGCAAAGTGTTAAACAGTGTTTCCAGTGTAATCTGGGTGTGCAGTAAGATACACAGAGATCTGTGACACGTGTGTGGACTGTTGTACAGTCAGTGTGGCAGTTTTAGATCCTGAAACTAATCTTGCAATTCAATTCAGTTTAATTTATACAGCACGAAATCACAACAGTCGCTATGAGCAAGCACTTTGGCGACAGCGGGGAGGAAAAACTCCCTGTTAACAGGGGCGGGGCCATCTGCTGCGACCGGTTTGGGTGAGAGAAGGAAGACAGGATAAAGACATGCTGGGGAGTGAGTGGTGTTCAGTTATTAGTCGACTACAAAGTGCAGTCAAAGTCTATATTCCAATTCAGGGTCTGCAGCCTCAACGATCCTCAAGGGCCGCGTACTTAAAGACCGCTAAGGCCGGAAGTGCGAGGCTTGTGAAATGGGACGGT